TTTTTTATAAATTGCTCTACTAGTATGTTATAGATAAGTAATTATTATTAACAACGTTCGAACACTTTAGAAAAAACTTCCTTCGATCCGGCCGGATTCGAACTAACGTCTTCTAGCAAACTGTGCCAACTAAGCCACGGAACGAACCAGCGGGCCTCATGAACTTTTTTATGTGGTTGTTATCGGATCTTTGTATTTGGTTTTCAACGACTTAATCGAATCCCTATGCAACGGTTTTCAATACAACTGCGCAATTAAAACATTATAAACTACAATTTGTTTCCGTAATTAGGTTTTGTGGGGATATATACCACCTCATGTCGACTTACATTTTTTATAATTTTGATGTGGGTAGTCTCTTTTCGGCTCTGTACTCGCCAGTCTGTTGATAATGTAATTAACGTAATTTGTGTAATTCTTAAAGTCATTAATAGAAAACTACACGGGAAAATTCCTGTGCGGTTGTACTAAATTTTGGCAAACAAACATTTGATATGTTTATGGGATTTTTATTACCGGTTATACCATAGCCATAGATTTTATCTAAAGTCTTTAATTTAAAGTATCTCTTAGAAATTGCCTATGGTAGTGAACATCGAAAATGGATAATTTTCGCTTCCGGTACCGTACCAATGCCATATACGGTAAAATTCAATTTCAAATTCAAGGAATTTTTTCTTTGCATTAATAATTATAACAAACTAGCGGAGTTATTTTATAAAAAAATAAGTTCAAATTAATTCTTAAATATACAAATGAAACAAAATTTTTAAATGTAATATTGCCATGATGAAAAAGCAGGCGATTGTAAAATACGTAGCATACTAAAACTGTTTTGTACGTATATCCAATCTTTTTCATCCCTTTTGTCTTGAGAATCGAGTTTATTTTTAACTAGGTAAAATATGTTCTAAACATTTTGTTATGAATACGAAAATAAAATAGAATTTAGAATTACAAGATGTTGGAATTTAGAACTTAAAATTTTATTCATGATACAAGTTATTATAGTCCTTTATAAACACGTACACGTCCCACAGCTAGCCACGGGTCTCTTTAGGAGGTGCTTTAGGACATAATCTGCTACGCTGGCCTAATGGAATGATAGGGTCTTCAAAAACCAACGAGGAGGTTTTATACATATACATTTACCAACGATGCCAATTTCTTCAAGATGTTTTCGTTCACCTTTGTAGTTCGTGATGGGTGGTAAATTAGGCTGGAAACTACTAAAGCTACCTGGCTGAGTGAAGAAAAACTTTAATAGGTTTCTCACAGATGACGCTACAGCAAAAAGAGTTGTTAAAAAAAATCTGCAACAAGCACATAGAAAGATTCGTAAGGTCTGCTTATTCCTTCCGTAGCTCAGTTGGAGAGCGTCAGCACGTTATGGTGAAGGCGCTGGTTCGAGTCCAGCCTGATCCAATGACTTTTCATTGTGTTTAATCTTTATATTAATAATTGTGCGAAAAGATCGCCATATTGATTAACCCCTACTAATTGTACTAAATTGTCTGTAAGGCAGATTCCGTTGAGAAGAATAATTAAGTAACTTAGAAAAACGCAATTAGGTGTTTCTTGTCCTTGCATTTCCACCTCATCTACCTGACAACAACCAAAATGGCCCTTTGAGACATTTTAGCGCCCATGATTGGAACTTTATTCGCATACAACCCAACAAATTAACGTTGGCTCCACACTTAAAAGTGTCCGAAGCAAAAGAGCCTTCGTTCGGTCAACCGACAACGCGCTTGTCAATCATGCGTATAATAAAAACTTGTAAAAATTACTCAAGTGAAAGAACACGATGATGTTTTATATTTAAGTAGTACATTGTGTTATCATAGTTATCATTCAAAAGTGTTATTAAAGTAATCAAAATTATCAAATAGTAGCTCACTATTCTTTTCCAAAGGTCAATGCATACGACTCATCTTCCGACGGCTTGATTGCATATATAACTACAGACATTCAACCAGGTTGCACATGATCCATGAGCTAAAATTCGATCTTGGTAATTTAAATTGCCGTTAATAAAATTGGTCGTAGTTATTCTGGATTCTTCAGCATATGTTCGATAACGGATGCAATATCCTCATTGCCTTGTTTTTTCAAAAGTGTTGCAGCTGAGTACCCCTATTCATCTGGATCTTCATTTTTGTGTTCGTCAGATCTTCTCTTCTTCTGTTTGTTTCCCAGATCTTTGAAGGGTTTTCGGGATCTCTTTGTCATCGTGCTAACTGACGATGATGTCTTAGGTTTTGGAGAGATGAAATCTTCCATTGATTCCTCTAGCCTATGATATTCCAGGCCACCTTCTGTATCAAGAACCTTCATTATCTCATTATTACTATTCATATACGGTGTAATAAAAAACAAAGAGCCAATGATGGCTACTACTATTAGTATGAACTCCATTTTATCGAGGATAGGTGACTATGACTACTCGTTTATTATTGAATATTTTGAATATAACGTCCTAAGACCCAGCAAACTACAAAGGGAAAGCTCTAAACGCGCCATGTACATTAAAATATACTAAATATAATTACTTGCTTCAGGCCCAGGCAAGTTTGCCCTCAGTTTTATATCAAAAACGTATTTTTCTAGACACCCAATAGTCATAGAGAATAGATATACATTTTGAAGTACACAGTGCTAGTAGTGGAGTATGCGCGCTGTCCAGTACAATCTTTTGATAATATGTGGAAAATTTTAGGCAAGCCGGTGGAAATCGAGTTGTATGGACGCCTCGCCACTGCAATCGATTAACACTACATGTGTATGTTACATATGTATGTAGCATACTTATACTCCTGTCCATTTTTATCCGGTGTACGTTTATCACAGATAAGAAAATGTATAAAAATCGCTTCTATCAAATTTTAAATTTATTGATAATTTAAAAGAAGTAGAATAATTATTCATATTATCGATTACAAAAATGGTGGAGTTTCATTTTATCGGTGACGTAGACGAGATAAGTGATGAACAAAGGAAATTCATTAGTGACATCGTTGAAAAGCGAGGCTTCAAAAATGTAAATATTAAAATACAACCAGTTGGAAAAGCAGGTGACAACTATGCAGCCAGTGTAAAAAGAATCATCGTGGAAAACGATGGTGAAAGTTTTAAAATGATTGCTAAGATAGCTCCAAAGAGTGAAATGAGACGAGCTGTGGGGTACGTAAATAACTATTTCCGAAACGAGCAAGTCATGTATACCGAAGTGCTACCTAAGTTTGCTGAATTAGAAAAAAACGCAGATATTCCAGAAGAGGAAAGACTACGATACGCAAAATGTTACGGGACGTACATGAAAGAACCAAATGAAATTATTCTTCTGGAAGATTTAGAAGTACCAGGATTCAAGATACTTGACAGGTTCATCCCATTGACGGATGACACTGTAAGACTGATTCTTAAAAACCTTGCTATGTTACATTCTTTGTCATATGTTTTAAAATATCAAGAAACAGAAACGTTTGAAAAGTTTTGTGAAAGTCTTGTAAATTTTTGGTTGCTCATGGCTAACATACCTGAAATGACTGATTATTTTGACAAGCTTGACGCTGATGTGCAAATGTTAATAGACGACGAGAAATACAAAAATGCGCTTAAACACGCAGGAAAACAACTGTTACCACGTGCAGCAGAACTGGCCGAAATAGATTCCAGTACTAAATTCTCCGTAATTAAACAAGGGGATCCGTGGACCAATAACATTATGTTCAGACTTGAGGTAAGGATATACAATAATCCATACATTTCAACAAGTATAGTATTGTACACGGCATGATCACCATATTTGGAGTATAAATAAGGTGATCATGCCGGTGTACAAATGGGTTTGTTCTATTAACTACTAAATACACACATTGAATTATTTATTTCTCAATTTTAGGACGACAGAACAATAGAATGCTGTATGATCGACTACCAATTATCAACACTGAGTAGTCCCGTCGCCGATATTCATTACATGATCTTTAATTGCACCGATCACGCTACGAGAGCGAAGCATTTCCACGACTGGATCGATTATTATCACACGCAACTGAATAACAATTTAGCCAAATTCGGACTAAAGATCGAAGACGTTTATCCTAGACATCAACTTGATGCAGACTTAAAAAGTTATATCAAGGTGTCGCTTGGCCAAGCTGTCATGTTGGCTTCAGTACTTGTTAGAGATTCAGAAGATGCTGCTAAACTTACAGACGCGATGAATAGCGCAGATTCTAGTGGATCTATGGAAGAAATGATCGAACAAACAAAAGTTTCAGGACTAGGTCCTGAGACGATAAAAAAGTTTAAGACAAGATTACAAGGAGTTGTCGATAGTTTTATTGAATTTGGTTATCTGTGAATACGTCTAAAAAAACGCTATTTGTTAATGTAATTTTACCGAAATGAGTAGTGTTGAATTAAAACAAACCGTTCACAATGCACTTTAACAAATTAAATTAAATTATTTCGTATTTTGTCTTGTTTCTGTTGATATTACAACATTTTAGCCGGCACGCATTGAGTGCAGTCACAGAAAATTAAAAATCAATTAATTCAAAATCAGTCAAAGGCTTGTGATTTTCAATTTAACAACATATTTATAAAATGTTCATTGAAATCAAATGAATATGTTTTTTGCTGGCACGTAAACGAAATAAATCAGCTTTTTTTACAGTATATATAGTTAGTCATTGATTTTTCCAATAAACAAATACAAAACTGATCTCGATATTCATAAAATGAGACCACCTATCCATCCTGCAACACCTAACACGGTAATAGAGACTACGCCGAGATTTAGCTACACGTGCCAGTGATCTGAAAGCTACATCCTATACGTCATTTTCCCTGACACATATTTACAAAAGTACACATTTTTAAAAATATTTATTAATTACAAATTTTAGTATAACATAAATGTTTATCTATCATCACAGTTCGTCGATGTCAAATTGATCCACACTTTGTCGGGTCCCTTCATAATCTATCTATTGACTTTAACAACGGCATTAGAGAAGAACAGGCAATATATCAGCCGTAGACAATATCTTCGTAAATAAGTCTGGAAGGGATCAAAAGTGCATACCGTCCAGAATAGTGCCATTACGCGTAACTAGCATTTGATTATGAGTCTCCCTTTCGGCAATTTAGTCGCCAAATCCGCGTAAATGTCGTGGCAACCAAATTAGCGTGATTTACGGGAATCTATTGTTCTCAGTCCGTAGACAACATAAATTAATGCTTACTGTGCAAAAAGTCGTAGCCATTCAAATAACAAATTAATAACGTTAAATCCTTCTACTGTGAAATTTGGTTTGGTGCAGATACGCGCCTTTTACTACATACGCGGGTTTGCATTATCCCCGAAGATATGTGCATATTATATTTATGTAGTTACGGATTTTGTGTCGGTAAAAGCAGTTATTATCGTGGCCCAACAGATGACTCTCAAATATTAATTGACTATGAACCTCGTAGGTGGTATGCCAAGGTTTTCGCAAACAAACTACGCAGTTGTGTCAGAAGCACCTAAAATTTGGCACCTTAAATCCATCTCCTGGCCGCAAAATACTCTGAAGAACTTCATAACTCACAACATTAAATTAAACCGTTCCCGATTGGAACCGTCGTCCAGCTGGGAAGCCGGCCACTAGTCATATGAAAGTACCGGTACCTTCCACACCACTGAGAATATTCGCATGGAAGCCGGTTTCCACATCGACGTCAATGCTTACGTGCACTCGCTGCCACGATCTATTATTCTCATACCGTAGTCGTCTCGCATGGAACGCCTGGCAATGGAGCATTAGCAAATTTTCTTATCATATCATAAATATTGTAAAAACAACAGGGTGTGTAAAATGTATAATTATGTATAAGTCCGATTTCAGATGCTTTTTGCAACTAACAACTTTAGTAAAGTACAACTTTAAAATACCGAAAAAATATTTGCGTTCCTTATAACGTCATGCATTTATAAATATGTTAGGTAGCAAGCGGTGGCACTTTTAGCAGACATAAAAAAGTTAATGTTTTTTAATTTTGTTTTCACTGCTTAATCTTTCCAAGAACATTCATTTACAATTAGTTTTCAACTAATCAATCTCGAAATATACACTGGATTATTTTTCAAGTGGCAAAAGTAAATTAGTATGAAACGCCTTCAATATAATTTAATTCAATATAATTTTTTTGGATTTACATTTTCTATCAACTTATCAAAGACCACTACAGCACATAAGCCTCTCTCTGTTGTCTAATAACATGAAATGTTTACTCACCTACCGACTTACCTACATCATTTTCCAGTTTTTGTAAGTTGTTGAAATATAAAAGAGCGCCATCTAGTGGTTAACTAATTAACTCATTCCGAAATGGAACGAAGTATAACGGAGCTGCCGTGTTATATACAGAATACAGAGCGCATGCGCGTGATTTCGTGTTATGACTGCTATTACTTCTAGTAAGTGCGCCTCTGCGCTAGTAGATGGCGTTCTTAAACATATAATTTAACTTAATAAATCATCGGACATAGTGCAATTACGCGTAACTGGCAATGGATTAGTGTTTCCATTTCGGTAATTTAGTGGCCAAATCACATCTGCGTAAAAGTTGTGGCAACGAAATTGGCGTGGTTTACGGAAATCTATTATTAACACTCAATAGACAATATAAATTAATGCTTACAGTACAAAAATGAGAGTCGTAGCTATTGAAATAAAAAAGTAATAACATTAAATGCCTCTCTTGTGAAATTTGATTTCGTGCAGATACGCGCCTTTTACCAATACTACATCCGCGAATTTGCACAATACCCGACAAATTGTCAAATATGCCTTTTTATGGTAGAAAATCTTATTATTGATGTCAGTTGACAGTTGAGTTGTGTTGCTTACTGTATATCCAAAACTATTACAATATATTTCTACAAAAAAGAACAATTTTAATTTAATTTTGTAAAAAAATGTTAGTTGTACGTTGTACCCTTTTCCGTTCCGAGACTTTTTATGGTAGAAAATTTGATTGTTAGTGTCAGTTGTGCCTTTTGAACTCACTGTATATACAACAAATTATTGAGATAAAATTTTACAAGAAATATATACATATATATAGACTTTATATATAGACTTGTTTTGTATGTTTTATACAACCAACGATTATAATCGGGCCCAGCTGTTGGAGTTTTGTAGGAAGGGCGAAAGCGACATCTTGTAGCTATTTCAGGGAGCATGTTTTAGGTTCTAACGATTGTTTTAAAATATTAACATCCTATTTTAAAATTCAATTTTAGATTTAAACTGAATTTGATTAAAACCAAAATGAATGATGAATAAATGATCACCCAAAAAGTTGACATATTCACACAAGAAAAGTGTCTAGCGACAAAGGTAATTTTTTAAATATTTAATTATCCTATTTTATTATTAATACAAAGATCGAACACTTAGAAAAAATTCCTTCGATCCGGCCAGATTCAAACAAACAAAACAAACCGTGCTAGACGCCTAAGCCAACTAAGCCACGGAACGAACCAGCGGACCTCGCAAATTTTTGTATGCGCTTGTTGTCGAATCTTTGTATTTGATTTTCAATGACTTTTTAGCCATAGCGCCTACCTATGAGAAATTTATGAAAGTATTTCGTCACCCAGTTAGATACCTTTACAGCTACCAGCCCTGGCTAGAAAGGTCGCTATTAACTTTTAATCAAATTTTTAAAAATTCAATAAAATTTCATTACCTTATTAAAGTTAAATAAAAATAATAATCATCATCATATCAGCTGGAAGACGTCCACTGCTGAACCTAGGCCTCCCACAAAGATTGCCAGACTAGCCGGTCGGACGCGACGTGCATCCATCGGTTACTCGCCGCCCTTACAAGGTCATCCGTCCATCTAGTAGGTCCATCCCACTGAACGCCTTCCGGTTCGTGGTCTCCATTCGAGAACCTTTCTGCCCCAACGGCCGTCACTTCTACGAGCTATGTGCCCTGCCCACTGCCACTTCAACTTGCTAATCCTTTCAGCTATGTCGGTAACTTCCGTTCTTCTACGATTCTCTTCATTTATGAAATAAGGCAAATAAAAATATGTATAAAAATTTATTAAATTATTTATTTAGTTAGGTTCTTATTTTTTGATGGAGTTCAACAAAATGAATTAAAAAACCTGCCTTTTAATATTTAGCATACACGTACTTGATCCCTGACACTTTTGATGTGTATATGTAGGACAAAGTATTTTCAGAATTTTCTTTTTGCAATATTTGGTTAAGTTTAAGCAACTTTATTTTCATTCCTTACTTAGAAGCGTATGAAGTGTCCCTTTCTAAAAGCGGAGGTCAGGCAAAGTGTGCTCGACGCATAGTATATTACACAGTCCTCAACGAAGGCCTCAGACACGCTAACTGCAAACACTGGCAAGGTGTAAGATGTAATCATCAGTAACCCAATAAGTACAAAACAAAGATAATTTCAACTTGATGTACCCAGAAGACGTAGTGACAAAGATAAAGGGATGCTCAGATGAGTCGAAGGAGGATAGAAGTAAGACTACTGACGTGTGTGAACCGGCAAGTTGGAAAGGAGTCGACTAAGGCGAAATTAAAAGCGTCCTAACGAGAAACCAGACCAAAAATACACTTAACTGGCGAAAAAGATATTTGTGAGAATCGTAGAAACTAGAAGGCTATGGTCTCTGCCGACCTCGATCGGAAAAGGGCGTGAAATATGAAAAAAGATACATCGAACATTAAATCCTCTCCACTTTTATTCATGCTAAGTTTTCAAAACTGTAATACATTTTACTTTGATTTTGTATCAAGTCATGACTTAGAAAACATACTTATAAAACTATACCCGACACATGTTTCGCCTCCCTTCAAGATTTCAAGGGGCGGTTGATTGCTCGACTGTCGGCATTTTCGCAAAATCAAATCTGTATGGTGAGAAAATTAACTACATGAAAAAACTTTCAATACAAGCGCTTTTATTTTCCACTTTCACTAGGTTCAGGGAATAGCAAATTAATTCAGTTCTATTTGTAGTTTTACTGGTTAAAAAATTTACACTGTGCATGTAACAGAGGGGTCAGGCAGCGGTACTAATTGAAGGTTCCAAAGTACATGGCAAGTTACACACTACCGTCAAAGTGACTGACAAACCCGGTTGCAGTCACTTTAACAATACGCCAGAGTGCAGTTAGTTTTGAAGTTTGTAAATAGAATAGTTGTTCAGTTCGGTTAGTCTCAATGAGGGTAAAGTGGGTAGTAGATAGCAATGGGTTTTGACGGTATCTATGAAATTTAATATGTATAACCAGTGATTGCCACTTTCCGACAGGCTGTCCGACTGCATTTGACATCTATTTTGAATGCAAATAAAAAGAACAAGAGGTGCCTAAAATCGATCTTGGTATTGCACTATTGGTAA